AATTATTTTTATTATATTTACTTTATTCTAATAAAATTATATGAGCAGGATATTGCCTTTATTTTAAAAAAAAAAAAAAAAATGAGTCCTGCTGTTTCTGAATTAGTTAAACTTCTCTTAGAAAAATCCAAGAGCTTAAACAAAAGGGAAATGATGGTTTCGCTCCCACCTATACCAACAGATTTCGAAGCAGGTGACAAAGAATTCAAAGATATATGCATAATGCATAGAATCATGGACTCAATGTAGGTAATTGGAGCTTCTATGTATCAATAATCAACTAACATCTAATCTTCATATTCTCACAGCCAGCATATCTGGTGCTACTTTATGGATGAAAACAAGGCTGAATATACAGAGGGTACATATATCATTCACATAGTATCCAACTTTCTCAACCATTGTTCTGCTATGAAAAATACCAAACTTAAAATTATCTGGTAAGATTCTAAATAATGCCTAGCCTTAGCCAAAGATTTATGAAATTATATAACAAATGTCACATGTGTCATAATAGAGCTGAAGAAGTTTCGGAGGCTTCTAAACAATAAGGTTTGTATTCATGGATACCATAAGGAGGTCACACAGAGTCACACACTATTAAAATCAAGTGTTTTTAAGTGATTTTTTGCTGATTTATTAGTGTGTAATCCCCTTAACAGTATTCATGGTATCTGTGAATACAAACCCTACTAAATGACAGATGGGAAGTCATAGTTGGTCACAAACCTGATTTTTGAGTGAAGTCTCCATTGAATGCCAATGATGTGGAATATGTCTTATGGAGGCTTCGTGTTCTTCTGACTGATAAAAAGATCCATGATGACTGGGATAAGCTGATCAAGCTTATGAAAGATGCTCATGTATGGTTATTGAGGAAGCTTACTAGAGGAAGAGGTGAGGGAAATGAAGGACCTGGAAGAAGATTTTAACAGAGTGCCAGTATTTGGTATCCAAGTTGCTGGTATGTAATGTCACAATTGATTTTTTTCCACTTGTAAATAACCTTTCTTACTTTAGGAGAAACAATGGTGTGTTGGGTTATGACTATGCCATTTGGAGCTTTCTACTTTGTTCAGCTTCTTTGATCAATAAAAATCCCCATGAATCGAGGCCAGTCTTCACTTGCCAGATTTGTGAATGAATTATGGAAGTTGAGGGTAAGTCCATCATCTTTTGATAAAGTTGGATGAACAAAGTCCTGGTTAATTAATAGAATTATTTAATACGTAGGCAACCCTGTGGAGACACATCAGCATCCTTAATAAGATTGTGGAAAAAGTTGATGTGTTTTTATATGACATGGCTTTTTACTCTCCACAATCTTGGGAGGATGCGCCCCTTTATGGAGGAGAGTTGGTCACACCACAATCACCATAATTAAAGCTTACTAATGCAGGTATTAGAGCAAGCTAACTCACATCTACCTGTAATTAAATAATATTACAAATAAAAAATTTATTACTATGAGATATCGATCCTATTATTTTTTGCATGCTGATATGGGTAATTGAGTTACAAGATGAAAAGCATCAATATTATTTATCTCTAGATATTCACATACCTCTTCATAATCAAATACTGCTTTCGTATCTTGTATCTTCCTATTTAAGATAATTACACCCCCCTCATCCATAATATGTACATGTTTTGATATAGTAAATACTGTTTTGGGTTCATAGTAAATTTGCATCTATTATTTTTAGAATTGCAAGACATATTAATTATTATCAGTGGATCTGGCATGAGTAATAGATCAAGACATTCAAATTCAAGTGAGCCAAACTGGTGTCCAGTTTTGGTCATGATCAGGATAAAATTTTTCTGGATAGACTAATCATATTAATATACCATTTCAGAGAGGAACTAGAGAAACATCTTACTATTGCAACTATAAACAAATTGATGAAGAACACGAGGTCCAGAAAAGGTCAATGGTGAGGTTAGAGATCAGCTCCCCAAAGAGGTTACCAGAAAAGTTTATAATCTTTTTTTTTGTATTAATGATGATAAAAAATTCAAATATGTAGCATCTCAGGTTAAAAAGAATACTAGACAAACATAAATTTGTATGTAAACTAAATCAACTTCTGCCATGCACCTCAATTAAGAGAAAAATTTGGTACATGTATAATAAATTTTTAATAAATTCATTTATATATTATATACCATTATTAAGATGTATACCACTTTGACTTGTTAATGCTATAAAAAAATGAAAACGTTGCATACAATAAAAAAAATTGTGTACAAGATTTCGTTTTTTATTAATTTGATATATTTGGGATGTCTGCTTTAGTGTATCATTTGGTTTAACAAAATCAAATCTACCAAAACAAATAAACAAATGTTGCTTTGATTATTCTAATTGATTAACATTTTAAGATTCTATTACAGCTATATCTCATATAAAGATCCTCTATATAAGAACACCTCTTGTTAAGAACACATTTTGCTGTAATTAAACTGATTCGATAATGATTTTCCCTCCATATAAGAACATACTCTGCCTTTACAAAACAATTGCATTATTGTTTTACAATGATTGTAACCAAAGGTTTCAATCAATTCAAAATGGTATCTACTATCCTCTTTATCCACTTTTGGTTTTAAAATTATAAATATCAGAGAACAAATGCAATTTCAGAGTCCCCAACTCTACTCTGGATTGCAAATTCCTCCTGAGCTTGAAACAAGTTGCAGATTCTAATTGCTTTGATGGATCTATATGTTTATGTGCACTCCTAATATTACAACTCTTCAACCTGGTTGCTGCAACCTCCAGAGTTGCAACTTTTTAGTCACAGGGCCAGCCATCTTTATACTAGAAGTAGGATTATTGCAGGAAACTTTTCGGCTAGCATGCATATCTGGGTAATGCCAGCTCAAGTGTTGTGAGGGAAGATTGAGTAAGATTCACAGAAGAGTCCTTGGCAATGATGCAATTTTCAATAAATTCCAGGCATAGCGACCCTCCTGAAAATTTAGTTGCATCGTCATATCATTGGGTGTCGCAAGTAAGATTAGCCTTGTATATGCGAGGAATGTGTGAGAATGACAGTAATGTGTTCAAGGTGGTGTGTGCGCTTCAACATTGAAAATTCAAATGTTACAATCAAATGTTTCATATCAAATCATTTCTTCTGCAACAGTCATGTTGCCTTGACATTTTCTTGTTATTGTTTAATATTAATATTATTATTAATGATTACGAAAAGCAAAATGATACCAATCGTCCATTATCTTGACGAGAGTTTCTATAATATACCTGAAGAGACAGACCACGTTTTAAATAGGATATGTTTATAAAATAAAAGATGCATATCAGTACATTTATAAAACAATATTTATAAAATATAAATTAGTATATCTCTCTGGTAATAAATAACCATATCAAACCACACCTTATATATATAAATAAATTGTTTTTTGAAAAAAAAACCAATTGTTATGTCAACAAAAAAAAATTGTCCAATATTTTAATATTTAATATATTTATATACGACTGTCGATCAAGTAAATCTCTCCTTTTCTTTTTTAACAAGATGCCATCGAACAAACAAAAAGAAAACAAGAAATGGTTACGATCATTGCAACTATCCATTCTAGTTATTTTATTATAAAATAATGATGATGGTGGTTACAAGATTGATGAGGCCAAGCTTTCAAAAAAAAGGTAAAATTTGATTCTTTAAAAGAGGAAGAAAGTGGAAGTTCTCTACTGGAACAATTGTGAGCAGTAAGTATTTAATAAAGCATTGCCATTGCATATAGATTAACATTAATTAACATATATATTCATAGTTTAGCCCATTCATTAATAATTGATCCTAATGATCAAAATTATATAACCAAAACATCTTCACAAGGGAAGAACTTCATTGAAGCATGATATTGTTACCGGGATTAGGGTTTAACGCTGATTTGTTGGTCGAAATATCCTAATCCCCGAATCATCTATTTTTACTCCATTTTTACTTCATTTTACTTCATTTTTATTTTATTCATTTCTTTATTCATTATTTCCGTATTTATTTGTATTACGTTTTTATAATAATAACGCCAAAATTAACTTTATTTAGCGTCGCAATTAAAGTGCTATATCGCAATGAAGTTGCTACTAATTAATTTTAATTGTATATAAGAAGTTCAAACTCGACATACTTGTAAAATAACTTTGTCTTGGTTTAATAACTTTGTAAGAAGTTTAATAAATTAACTTAGAAATAAGTTAATAAATTAATTTCGGCTAAATAAAACGTTTTCTTAAATCACTAAACCAAAATTATTCGCTAATAAAATTAATCCGTTAATAATAGCCAATTCACTCTGATTCACATAATCATAAATTTATATTGTTATCATCAATTAATATGCTCTCCCAAATAATAATTGGTGACAATATACAAAACTTAATTGGGTAATTCATCTGATATAGTTAATTCAATTTGTTGAAAATCTTTTATTAATATTATAAATTTTAAAATGAAAATAATCAATCATTAAATACCATAATTACTGATAATTGTCACTTTGTTAGAATTCACATATTGGGGAATGTTTGTAAATTTTAATAGTCAGCTATATATAGTACGAAATGAATTGTTGCAGTAATTGTTGAAGGATCAAATTTTATTATCAAAACTTTTCAAATTCATCCTGCTGTTCTTCTGAATGTCCAAAATGTCCAAAACTCCAATAATTTATTTCAAATGAATCATTCCAAAAATCAACAGTCTCATGAATTTCACCAGCAGTTGAAAATTTATCTGGATTAGCATCCATGCATCTGAATGATAGTTCAATATAGAATTTTGGTGTATTTGAAAATCCAGGTCATACTCCTTCACATATTTTCATTGGAAGGCTTACATCATGTGCCAAATTACTGAATGGTTGTTGGCCAGTTGATATTACAGATATCAGAACTTCAAAGCTATATATATCTGATGCTGCTGTAATGGTTTCTTCCTTAAAACTTCTGGTGCAACATATGGCAGTGCTCCAAATGTATCATTTTTGTTTGATGCAGATGTGTGACCAGCTGGACATGATAGTCCCAAGTCTGTAATATATGAAATAGTAGTACTGTGAGATAGTAAGTTGTGTGCCAACCAATTGTTCCGTTAATCAGAGCGAACTTATTACGGCAGTCATATGATGTGCTAAATATTGAAAACGATCACTGAATTTATTCCGATTTTTATCCATATGTAATATTAATCAAGCTTATCATTTCTGTTTAAAATAATTAGCATTAGTAATCTTAATTAGCCACAATTTATTAATAAACATATTTGATTGGAAAGTAGGATAGCACAAATCACATTATCTGTAATACTCCAAGAAGTATTTAAACTTTTAGAAATTGCTCGAGCTAAAATAATAATCTTCGAATTAATAAATTTCCTTTAATTAACATATTTTACCTTGTTACGAATTTTTGCATAGTTAGAGAGGAAAAGCCGTCGCAAATTGTTCTATGATCCTTTCTAATGGTTAGTGGTCTGGCCAACCTTTAATCATTAGTTAGTAACCCTTTTATTTACTATGTTGCTTGTAGGGACGCCTCAAGTGGTATAATTGCAAATATTTCTTGTATATAATTTTCTTTATTTCTTGATTTTAGCCGTGTATCGGCATTTTTGAAGTCCGTGTATCGGACAATTATTATTTTTGGATTTCCGCGTGTCGGAATTTATTTGGCCGTGTGTCGGCATTGGGCACATAAGTCCGTGTGTTGGCGGCACAATTTATAACTATTGGGCACATAAGTCCGTGTGTCGGCAGTACAATCTATATAATTATTATCGGACACGTCAAGAGTTTATAACTGGGGAAATTACACGCTCGCGGTGAAAAATAACACCACTATGAAGATCATGATGAATAATTTCTTTTTCGTGAATATCTTTTAAACCTTTAATAATTTGTTGAAAAAAACGAATTTTGTTATATGTACCATTTTAAATTTTTAAAATCTATATGTCATTGAAGTTTTGCACCAATAAAATAATCAATGTTTGGTTTCCTAAATAGTTAAATGGTCAATATATATAACTTTTTTGCGCTTCAAAAATAAAGTTCGAGCTATTGATGCTTATAGATGACCTGTACCATATTATACTATGTATGATTTTATTACATTTTGATTAACGAACGATTCGTTTATGAATCAGTGAACCCTAAATAAGGATCGAAGAGGAAAAAATGTCGCAAATTTTACTAATTGGCGACTTTGTATAAAAAAATGGCACTATACAATAATATTTTTGATTTTCGTTATGAAAGAACATATTTTTTAATTTTTTTTTTAAATATTGAAAAAAAAACTTTTTGCTCTTGGAGATGAGTGAAAATTTTCACATATAAACAATTTTTACATGAGTAACTTGTAATGTTGTATGACGAAATGTTTTTGGAATTGAGAAACTATTTCGTCAAATGCATTAAGACTAAACCCTTGACGAAAGTCAAATCATTCAAAAATTATTGAGCAAAACAAAAAATTAGAAAATCAGATTTAATTTTTTATTAAAATAAAATTTTTGTTATTTTCTAATATTGAATTCAATTTATTATTGACATTAGATATTTCGGTATCAAGAAATTTTCCAGATAAAACACTCCTAGATGATGGTTGATATGCGGGACGGAGTTGTTGAGGAAGATCTATAAAGTATGGATTACTGACAACTGAAAAGAAATTCCACAGCAAACGAATGCTTTGATTAATGTCCAGTTAATAGAATCATTGCGTTTTTTTGTCAACAATGTGCTTTCATAAAAATTTGAAATTGGCTGTTGAGTTGTTGGTGATTCTAAATTTTCATTGTTATTATCACCATTTATTTGCCTTAGATAATCTTTTCTAATTTCATGAGTACAGCCAGGACAATGATTTGTTAAATGTGATAAAAGTTTTTGTGGTTATCCATGACTAAACTTTTTTGTGCAATACTTGCATCGTTCCTTGAGATTTTTCTTCTTGTTTTTTAGTAAAATGAGTCCACACATTTGAGGAAGGTCTACCAGATAATTTATTTTGTGGATCCGATATTGTCTTAAACAATATTATCTCATGAACTTACTATTGGATATAAAAAGAAGGCGGAAGTTGCTTGTGATTTGAATAGTTTATGGTCGTTTTACTAATTTCAATTCAAATAATTTTTACTCAAATATTATAAATAAGGGGCAAACTTTTATAAATATATAAAACAAAAAAAATTCAAATTCAATTTTTACTTTCATCAAATTGTCAAAAATGGCCCTTGGTGAGAAACCACCTTTAGTCAGTATTTTCATCACGTCAATGACTAAAGTCAAAAGTTTCGTCATACATCATTACCCGGGATTCAATCGTTTCTTGGAGAATTTCAAGAAAATTAAACGAACACAATTTAACAAGTATTTTTAATATATGCATTATTGATAAAGATGGTTTTTTACCTGGCATTAAAAGCACCGAAGGAAGAAAAAAATATTACAGTTCTTCTTACCGATTCGGATAAACTTGATAACCCAATTGAAGCAATTTTGAGTTTTAAGCTTGATATTAACAATAAAGGAGAGAAAATCGAGGGTGTACTCGAATATGCGAGCTTAATAGTGGTGGTCATGATATTAAACATACAAACCGTTATATAATGTAAGGAATTGGAAATTTAATTGTTAATATATAACAAACGAAGTCGAGCAATTTAATAAACAAGAATTTCCCAAGGCCCGTTTAATTAAAATTTTATATTAATATTTTGGATCTTGTAATACAAATGATTATTTGTTTTATTCGTTTTATTCGAATCATTCGTTTTGTTCGTTTATTCGAATCATTCGTTTTATTATTTGTTTTATTCATTTATTCGAATAGAAACTCTAGGATGAGCAGGCTCGAGTTAAAGCTTGAATTTTCAAGTTCGAGCCGAGTTCAAAAAATAGGCTTTTAAATAGTTTACCTAAAAAAAATTTATGTATCAAACTCGAACTCGAACTTTTACTTCACCATTTGAGTTTCAGTAGGTCAAGGCAAAATAGTTATTGGAATGCAAATTTAATAAATAACCAGGAATCCTCAATATCGAATCCAACTATTATTGGTCTCCAAAACTAGAGAGTTTCGCAGCTGTGTAAAAGTCAAAATGTTTTGCCATAAGTCGAAACTAGTTTTGAACTTTGACCTTTGATTTTTGATTCAGTTTCAACACATAGATTTTAACTTTCATCTCTTCAAAACAGTTTTGGTGACCAACACTAAAATCCAACCAAAACCACAAACTTCTAATTCTTCGATTAATAGTTTCGATATTATAGTTGAAACAGAGGAAATGCCAATTTGATGATGATAATGTTGACCACATCATAATATGGTCACGTTGAAAGGTTATTGTTTTTAATGAAATTTGACATTTTTAAATGTCATTATTATGAATGCTTAAAAGTATTATGAATACTTACATAATTAATTACAAATGCTCAAAATTATTATGAATATTTGCATGCCTAAAAGTATTACATTATTATGAGTCAACATAATTATAAAAATAACAAATCTATAACAATAAATTTATAATAAGAAATCTATTATAACAATAGTCTATCTCTCTGTGTATTTAATAACACTAAAATATTATACACTTCATATGTTTTCTTATCATTTAAGCGGTTGCTTAAACTATCAGTTCATGCTGATAATGGAGATGGAAAGTTCTGTTGAATATAATAAATCATCATTTTGTAATTCATTATTAGTTTGATTTGTTAAATTAACAATATCTTCAATAGTGTTAGTTATGTCTACATTGTCCAAATCCTGCACAACTTGATCAATACAAGGACGGAGATCTGGATTTTTTTGCCAACATGCTTTATAAAAATAAATTTAAATATAAATTATTATTTAAAAATTATTTTTCAGGGCTGTCCATTGAAAAATTGTAACCAGTGATTATATCACTAGTAATTCTTTCACATTATTACCTGTATATATTTCTGCATATTTTCTTGGAGTCCCCTTGATTATTGCTTCACGTTCATCTGATGTCATGATAAGCACTAAATCAGTGAATTTGATTGACTTATCTGCAAATGGAGCATGGCCACTTGACAGCTCCCATAAAAGCACTCCAATACTATAAATATCTGATTTTTCATTGCGACTATAATTTTCAATATCGTTTAAATATTGTGGATCTGAGTATCTTATTGTACCAAATTTTTTGGAAGCTTCTATTGAAGGACCCAATAAAGATTTTGAGATTCCAAAATCACAAATTTTAATATCTCCATTATGAATTAGAATATTTTCAGGATGCTATTTAAAAATATTAATGTAAGTTATTACTATATATTAAAAATGTAAAAAATAATAAGTAATGTTTATATGTACCAGATCTCTATGTACTATTTTATTTTCATGCAAATGACTTACAGCATTTACAATTTGTTTTGCAAATTTCAATTTAGTGTTCCAATCCATTATATTGAAATTGGTTTTTAAATAATCACATAAATTACCATTATTTGCATACTCTAATACAAACATGTAATTTTTTTTATGTTTTTCTTTAATGATGTAAAAAAATTTAAATTAACAAAGTATAATAAATATAACAATAATTTAATAATAATAATTCAACGCACTTTCTTTTGTTATGCCATAAAATCTCAATATATTACTGTGAAATTCTACTTTAAGATGTTGCTTTGCCTTTAAAAATCAATTTTGTGAATATTAATATATATATTAATATATTTGTTGGATAAAAAAAAGATTTACAGATTTATTACCTCATTAAGAAATTGTTCAAAAGTATATTTTTGATCAATATTAATGGACTTTAATGCTACAAGTTCTTGATGATGCTTTGAAAATGCACGAGAAATTGTTCCAAATGCTCCATCATCAATAAATTCAATATTTTGAAAAGAATTATAATCATATAAAAAAATATGTTCCCTTTTAAGTTGATTCTTAAACATTTTTTCCTCCTCTGAAATAGATTCTTCTACATTTATTTTTAATTGCAATTTTAATCGCAATTTTAATGTTTTTAATCGTAATTTTAATGTTTTTAATTGCAATTTTAATGTTTTTTTCCCATTTTGTCTTATCATTTGAACAACTGTGTAAAATGGTCTTTCTAGAAAGCTTCAACGATCTGTTAGCACACTTTATTATTATGGTGCGGTTTACAATAAATAATGTAGCCCTTTTAGAAGCGACAAAGGTTTCTCTAAAGTTCCTTTTTTATTTATTTACTTTGACTTTCTTTGACCGCTTAAAAGCTTAGTTACTTTTTTTTTAACGGCCGTACAGTCGTTTTTTTTCTCTCGAGAAAATAAAACGCTAGTAAAATTTTTGCTCGGTAAAGAAGCAAAGGTTTGTCTCAAGTTTTTGTTAAGTGTAAACCTTTTTGTTTACGTTTTGTAAAAGTGTTTAAGTATTTAAGTGTAAACGTAAGAACTAAAAATTTTTTATCAGTGTGTTAGAGTGTGAACGTAAAAGTTGTAAAGTGTTAACGGTTGTTACGATTAATATTAACCAAAGTCGTCACCGTGTATTGTTACTTGTTAAAATAATTAATTGAGAAATAAAAAAATTAATTTTTAAAAAAGATAATTATTATATTTATATAATTTATATAATAAATAATAATTCGCGTAGTTAAACTTCCAAAAAAGGAAATTATTGTTCTGTTGTTCTGTTGTTTCTTTCTTTTTTTTTTTCTTATATTAAAAGGTAAAAACAAGTTTGCATCGAGATTTTCACTTACTTTGGGAAAATTTTTAAATTTCATCAGTGCCAATCGTTTACGTATACTCAAAATAAAAAATGGCATTACTAAACCTGGTAAAAGTAAACCAAAGAAAAAATCAAAAGATCAACCTAAAAATTTGTCTACAGGCCAATTTAAGGATAGAGTGTAGTCATGTGATTTTTCATAACAACTGAAAGGATAAATTTTTTACTGTGACGATCATTTTCTTATGTCACACATTGAAATAAATTATAATAAAATAATTCTAAAACGATCAAGTTTTTAATAAATAAT